GTAAAGTCGTCGATGTCATAGTCGCAGGCGCAGTCGCAGGGCTGAAAAAGGCAAAGGCAAAGGCAAAGGCGCCTTGGGATGCTAAGGGGGCGTGATCCACGGAGTCCAGAATGATTTATGGGCTCAACAGAGCTTTACTAATATTTTATAGCGACTAAAATATTTTAAAACAGTAAAAGGTTAGGTTAACAATTATGGTAATAAAAAATTTTTTTTTTTTTAATTACAATATTTTAAATTATTTTAAGTTTTAAGCATTGTGAATTTACTCTGACAATTAAAATCTAAAGAGCTTTAAAAATACCCTTATTATTTATATTTTTTAATGTTTTAAAATCAAGGGAAATGTTTACTTTTTGTATTTTAAACCCAATATGTATTTTTCTTATTTATTTTATTACAAGCTTTTATGGTATAAGCTTTATGCAATAGTTTTAAAGTCATTCTCACACATAGGAAATCTGCAATGTAACATCGATGGGTTTCTGGCTTGGCGAAGTGATCGAGATTTCCGGATTATAGGAAGGTGGCCATTTACTCATCCATATTTTAAGTCCATTTCGTAGATGATCCACAACTCGAATGTGATTAATCGTTCCCATATTTAGTTTTTTCTTGTAGGTAACTGTACCCCAATAAGACGCTTCCATGTTTATATGCCGCGTCGTTCTCAAGTCCCCGGGTTTTGGCGTTCCATATGGATAGGATGTTGGAGGTCTCCAGGAACATACATAAGTACGAATCTGGAATTGCCACAAGAAGAATGGCCACTAGGACGGCGGAACTATAGAAACGTTCTGTAGATACGCGTAGTAGATACATTTTGTAGCTTGTGATAACTTTCCTAAATTTAGATGACATAGCCATGCAGGGGTCGGTGAAAAGCGTTATAATGAGATTAAACCAGAACGAATTAGTTAAAATATTATAGCATTTTTTAAACATTATAAAATGCACCTAACTTCTGCAAGCCGGAGGTTATGTACCCTTCTGTATCCTTAAAGCATTATTTTATAAACGTATAAAATATTGTAACATTTTGCAAAATGTTGATTAAATTTACATATAAGACCATGCAAGGGTTCAACTCTGCTATGGGAACTACTAAACGGTATTTCAATGTTTAAATCATATACAATTTTTTATTCGGAATTTAGCTTTATTTTATTATAACATACAGGATCCACTATATGTAAAAACTTTTAGCAGTAGTGTCAAAGTCATGGCTTCTTAAAGTAAGCCTCCATTTTAACATCGATGTGTTTTTGATTTCTCGAGGTGATCACTATTTCCGGGTTGTAGCAAGGTGGCAATTTACTCAGCGATATTTTAGGTTCATTACCTGCATAATCTATGAACTTAATGCCAGTAACCTGCCTTTTCATACTCAGTGTATTCTTGTAGGTAACCTCACCCCAATAAGCCGCAGCCAAATTTATATTACGCGATATTCTTCCGTCGCTGGGTTTAGGTTGTCCATAAATATAGTATTTGGGAGATCTAGCCTTGAAGCAAAAGGAAGCATCTGGAATTGCCAGAAGAAGAATGGCCGCTAGGATGGCGGAACTATAGATATGTGTGGTGGCAACGAGTAGTAGATTCATTTTGTGGCTTCTGTTTGCTTTTCCTATTATTGTTGATGTAGCCATGCAGCGCTAAAAAGCGTTGTAATCTGATTAAACCAGAAAGGTTTAGTCAAGATGTTTTTATATTTTCTTTCTATTGTCAACCCCCAAAAGGGTAGCTACTTTATAGTTTATATACCCCTGCAGCTTGATATTTAAATGCAAATTAAAAGAAAAACTAAAAGGACATTTAGTAAAGATGTATTTGATTTTTATTAATATAAGACATTATTATAAAATCGTTAAATATCTGAGGGATTCAAAGTCTTATAAATGGACATGTTGAAAAACATCGAATATATAAACAGGATTTTCAATAACAGTTTTACATTTTTCTCAACGTTTAGTAATTGTTCATATGGCAGTTTTGCATAAAATAAAAACCTAAATTCTAAAATATTATAAAATAATACAAATCTCGAAGTAGATGAACCAGATTTCAGATCAAACAGTACTTATCCTGCAGCATAACCATTCTCCTCCTGGATCACAAATGGTCGTAGATTAACAGGGTCTTGCTGTGTCTAGGAGAATAGGTGTTGGAGGCCCGAGGTCCTCGAGCTCCTCCACCTCTTTTGCCGAATTTAATAATCATTTGTTGAAAAACGCGGCATTTTTCAAATGGTTTGATATATCGATTTAAGATATTTTTTGTAATCGAATCGTTTGGGTTGGAAACTTGGAATGAATCGATTTTAGGGTGACCAAGTGCCGTTATCGATTTGTGTGTGACCAGCTGACGCGGTTAATCTTAGAAAATCGACTTCATCTGGTAACACTTTAATTAAAATTTTTAATTAATTTTTTACTCTTCTGTTATTTTGGTCGCCGTGCTTTCCCGATAACTTCTACCTGTTAAAGGTACTAAGGACTAAATACGTATGAACGATTATGCTGCAGCAGCAACAACAATTTGGAACCGACTTGGAACATTCCGTGTAAACGCGCTTCGCGTTTAGTTAGAAAATCATGGACATCGGCGAATTGCTGGCTTTTAAGGTAAATAAAACATTATTTAATAGAAATTACTACACCTGAATATGTGCAATCAACAGCCGGAGCAGACGCCGAAGCGGCCGCACGATGACGAGGACGAAGACTTCGACACGGAGCCCTCGCATGGAAAACGGGGCGGTGGCGACGAGAAAATCAAACGCATGCGGCGCATCGCCGAGGCCAAGGAGTCGGCACACTATGGGAAACAAGGCGGAGGCTCCACGGCGTCCGTCGGCACCTCGTCCTTTGAATTCGACCCTGAGCTCACGGAAGAAGAGCGCCTGAACATCCTGAAGTATGTGGAGAACGAGGAGGCCGATGGGGATGTACTGGACGAACAGGGCCTCAAGAAACTGATTCTGGTCTTTGAGAAGCGCAATCTGAAGAACCAGGAGATGCGCATCAAGTTCGCGGACAGCCCAGAGAAGTTCATGGAGTCAGAGGTGGAGCTGCACACGGTGATCCAGGAGCTGAAGGGCGTGGCCACTGTTCCGGACCTATATCCCCTGCTGGTGGAGCTGCATGGCCTGCACAGTCTGCTGGAACTGCTGGCCCATCAGAACACAGACATAGCCGTGGCCGTGGTGGACCTCTTGCAGGAGGTTACGGACGTGGATATCCTGGGCGAGAGCCGAGAGGGCGCCGAGGCCCTGATAGAAGCCCTGCGTAAGGAGCAGATCTGCGCTCTGCTGGTGCAAAATCTAGAGCGCCTGAACGAGCAGGTCAAGGAGGAAGCCGATGGTGTGCACAACACCCTGGCCATAGTGGAGAACCTCACCGAAATCGACTCGGAGTTTGTGAAGGAGGCGGCCGAGCAGGGACTATTGGCCTGGCTGCTGAAGCGCCTGCGCGGCAAGACGCCCTTCGATCCCAACAAGCTCTACTGCAGCGAGATCCTGTCCATCCTCATACAAACGGAGAACGACAACCGCCTGCAGCTGGGCTCCCTGGATGGCGTAGATGTGCTGCTCCAACAGCTGGCCGTCTACAAGCGACATGATCCAGGTAGCAACGAGGAGCAGGAGTACATGCAGAACATGTTCAATTGCCTCTGTTCCGCGCTGATGGCCCGTGAGAATCGGGATCGCTTCCTCAGCGGCGAAGGTCTCCAGCTAATGAACCTGATGCTGCGCGAGAAGAAAATGTCCCGGAACGGTTCCCTCAAAGTGCTGGACCATGCCATGGCCGGTCAGGATGGTCGCGACAACTGCAACAAGTTCGTGGAGATCCTGGGCCTGCGCACCATCTTTCCGCTCTTCATGAAAACCCCGAAGAGGAACAAGCAGCGCCTGATCTCCGCCGATGAGCACGAGGAGCATGTGGCCTCCGTGATTGCCTCGATGCTGCGGAACTGCAAGGGAACCCACCGCCAGCGTATGCTGGCAAAGTTTGTGGAAAACGATCACGAGAAGGTCGATCGGCTGCTAGAACTGCATCTCAAGTATCTGGCCAAGGTGGAGGCCATTGATAAGGAGATCGATCAGCAGGCCAAGGTGAGTAAAGAACAGGGTTTAAGTCTAGGAAATTTTATGAAATACTCTTCCAACAGGACCCCGGCATCGACGAGGACGAGGAGGCGGAGAACAACTACATAAAGCGACTGACCGGTGGACTTTTCACCCTGCAGCGCATCGACTACATCCTGCTGGAGGTTAGCGCCACGGCGGACACCGTCAAGCAGCGAGTACTGCAAATCCTCAATTTGCGCGGCGCCTCCATGAAGACCATTCGCAGCATCATGAGAGGTAATTTTAAGCAGAGCTTAACTCTGGAATAATTATTAATATAAATCCCATCCCTTTACAGAGTACGCTGGCAACCTGGGCGATGGCGACACTGATTGGCGGGAACAGGAGCAGACCCACATACTGTCCCTAGTCGATCGTTTCTAAGACTTACAAATAACAACAAGAAATATACAATAAAAAAAAAAGCAAAATAAAATGTACTTGAAAGATTAATTTAAAATTTTCACTTGGAAATTTAACACCTTGCTTGGCAGACGAGTCCATCCCCGGATTCCGTTAAATTCTGATCGGAGGTCTTTATTTTTCAACTCCATTTTATATCGCAGAAGCTCTGGCTTGTCTTTTTTTCAGGAATCGTCTTTGTTTTAGCGCAAGTATTCTCCTCCTTTTTCTATTCTTTTTTTTTTTTGTGCAGTCTTTTTCGTCCTTAGCGTCTTAGGCGTCCTTCTTCTTGTCTTTCTTGGCAGCCTTCTTATCGTCCTTCTTGGCAGCCTTCTTTTCGCTTTTCTCACCCTTCGTCTCTTCTTTTTTGCCCTCTTTCTTTTCACCCTTGCCGTCCTTTTCCCTAAGGTTCAATCGTGTTAGAAATGTATCCTTAAAGCCAATAAATGTGTTTGTTCTTCAGCTTAAATTTGTTTGTTTTGTGTTTTTAATTTAAGGCAAACTAAATAGCATAATACACAAGAGAGAACAACAATCTGCTTTCGAAGCAGCTGCGTTGCAATTAAATAAATTAAAAAGTTAAATGAATTTTGCAAAAAAATTACAATTTAAACATAGTTTCTTTTTCAATTTTACTATTATTATTCACGTGCAATTAATGGTTGACTATTTAGACATTGTTTGGGTGCAAAGAGAACACTCAACTCGCTTGGATTATTCGAATTATCTATGACATATCTTAGGACTCGACTCTTCAACAGCTTTAAACTTAACATTTTTGCAAAATTAATTCATCAAATAGTTCGACGACCTGAATACATAATGCTCTAACTACGAACCGATGGCATTTGCTTCATTGAGTAGTTTTGTGTGGCTAGAGAGTACATGTTAGGCGTTTGGTTGGTTCTACTTTTGTTTTCGGGTTTCTTTTTGTGTGTGCTTATGAGGGGGGGTTGACTTAGCCAGGTATATCGATGGATTTATCTACTTTTGGGCATCGGGAATCTCAAAGTTCACATCCATCTTCATTTCGCGGGCCAGCTTGACAATCTGCGCCAAGTGGACAGCCAGATCGGCAGCCTTGTCCAAGTCGTCGCGGGCTAGAATCTTGAGTCCAGAGGTGCGAATCAGCTCGCGGGCTTCCTTCACCTTGGTGCCCTACAAAAAAAAAAGCGAGAATTGATAGTTAAAAAGTTTCTCTAGAGAAAGAATTTCCCAATTCCAAACTCACCTGAAGACGCACAACAACGGGCATGTTCAAGTTAAGGTCCTTGGTGGCGGAGATGATGCCCTCGGCAATGACATCGCATCGCATAATGCCGCCGAAAATGTTAACCAAGATGCAGAGCACCTTCGGATCGGAGGTGATAATTTTGAAGGCAGCCTTCACAGCCTCGGCCGTTGCACCACCACCCACATCGAGGAAATTGGCTGGCTCACCGCCATACAACTTAATGATGTCCATGGTGGCCATGGCAAGACCAGCACCGTTCACCATGCAGCCGATGGTGCCATCAAGGGCAATGTAGTTCAGATTATACTTGGCCGCCTCAACCTCCTTGGGATCCTCTTGGGTCCAATCGCGCAGCGCAAACAGCTCCTTCTGACGGAACTCGGCGTTGTCATCAAAGCGCAGTTTGGCGTCCAATGCGAAGACTACAAGAAGGTAATTTAAGTCATATTAAAATGTTGTTTAACTAAGAGTTTTACGGGAAATACATATACATATACATATACTTACAGCCTGGACAGACACAAAATCCACCATTATGACATTTACAAATGAGTTAATTAGATTAAGAGATGAATGAGTTATTAGTACATGGATGAAGGAATAGCAACATTAATTTGCAAACTTACAGCCTGACATGGCATCCTCAGCATAGGGATTGATCTCAACTAAGAGGGCATCCTTCTTAACAAACAAATCGTACAGGTTCTCGAGCATCTGGATGTGGGTTTCCTCTCCCTCGCCGCCCAAACCCACTTTCTCAATGACCTTCTTGGCTTGTTCAGTGGTCAAACCAGTGGCAATGTCGATGGGCTCATAAAGAATGGCATCGGGGCTGCTGGCAGCGACTTCCTCAATGTCAACGCCACCTTCCTTGGATGCAATAAGAACGGGGCCCTACAAGGAGTACAAACTTAATTATAGAACTCCTTCTTTACATATAAAATATATATAATTTTGACTTACATTAAAGGCTCGCTCCATCATCACAGCGAAATAGAATTCACGACGCGGGAATTTCCTCTCGGCCACCATTACTTTATTGCAAATGCGACCAGCCGGTCCGGTTTGTTTGGTGACCAGCAGCTGGTTAAGCATCTTGGAGGAAATCTCCTCGGCAGTTTTGGGGCTATAAAGAAGATACATTTAATATGTAACCATAGAGGCCAGTGAAATATATTCAACTTACTCGTAGACCACGCGAACGCCGCCCTTAAGGCCATTCTTGAAGGTACCCTTGCCACGTCCACCGGCCAGGACCTGTGCCTTCAGAACCAGATTGTCTGTCTTTAGCTTGGTGGCAATGTCGTTGGCCTCCTTGCCGTTTTTGGCAACAGCAAATCTGCAAAAACAATGAGTCACTTTAGTATATAAAATAATTTCTGGGAGCTCTTTCTCTTTATGATTAATGATCTTTTGATCTTGGGCAATAAATTATTGATAACAACGCTTTCAAGTAAATTCTCCTATCAGCTAAGTGTTAAAATTGTAAGCTGTGAAGGCTGGGAATTTAAAGCAAACAAGGTTATTCGGACGTTTGGAAGATGATAATAATATACCTTTAAAAACGCATTGTGGCGTGATTATGCTAGCTTAGGTATAAGAGGCTACAAAACCTAATAAAATGGTGTTTTTGAAGAGCAGAAAACATACTTTTACATTTAATAAATGTACTTTTCAATCACATTTACTTAACAGTAGCAAAAGCTATTAACTATCTCAGTTTTTTACATCTTATCAGGACCTACGTCACTGACCCCAGTCACTACTCCGCATCGTTCAAAGTGTATATAGAAATCCTTATCACCCTTATCATCTTGGTGGCTGCGTTTCTTTGGTTTGTTTACCCCACAGCCAAGTAATTAATGCAAATTGTTAGCTTCCAGACAAAGTCCGAAATAAAAATAAACCAAAGACCGTCGTCGACGCAATGAGCAACGCGGCACTTTCGTTTGGACTTTGAACTGAAACTTTGCCAACCGATTTGTTGTTGTTTTCCGCGATTTTGATAATTTCCGAATGGGATTGGTTTACTCACCGCGGTGTGGGGATTTTGCCTTCGTTGAGGAGAGTGTAGGAAACATGTTCCTGGACATTGAGGTTCCTCAATTGCTGTACGGCGATGGGAGCCAGGCCGAGGATCTGTAGGAAATACAATATAAAACAGGTGATTGATTATTTATATATATTTGGCTATAAGCAATTTGGGTTAATGATATTTTCTAGGTATTTTTTGCGACCTTTTTATGTTTTTCAAGGTTTTAAAAACTTTAAAATATTTGATTTACCAACTTTAATCAATAATTTTGTACCTCGAAATTGCACTTATATATTTTATATTAAAACAATTGCTTTACCTAGAAAATAGTAATTAATTCAATGCTCTTAATTTTCCCTTGAATTTTAATCAAAGAAAAAAAGCCCTACTCTCCAGTCACGAGGTCATTGTCAAGCAAAAAAATATTTAAAACTGGTTCGCTGATTCATACAAAAACAAAAAAAACATAAACAAAATGAGCAAAAGAGACGGAATGTGGGTTAAGAGCCAGTCTAGGGGATAACGGCATTTTCACGATGATAACCAAATCTAATTCACAGATTAAAAATTTAATTAGAGGGCCCGGCAACAAGAACAACTACAGCTACAACAACAAAATGCAAAGCAACAGTTGTCAGCCGCCGTTCATTGATAAAAAAAAAATAAAGTAGGGGGAATAAATAAGGCTTTCAAGGTCCACGAATACGCACACACACGAGTTGCGTCACACTAATACAACAACAGAAAGTCAGGTGTCTTGCGGGATCGTGATTCTCCTTTGCACATAAACCCCTGTTTTACTGGGGTATTTGATTTGATTAACAATTTAATGCGTATAAAAAACGTCAGCTTAATAAATGGAAAATTAGCACCAAAGAGAAAAAAACAGTTTCAAAGCGAAGCGATCGCCACCCCCGCCTCCCGATGAGAACGAGGGAGAGAGAGAGAGATGGGCTCTCGCTGCACCTCTCTTTTCGCCTTATTATGTAAAGTGACTGATTTTTCGCACATTACATTTTTATTAGCTTTTGCCACAGCTACTCACCTTTTTGACAGCCGTCGGCCTAACGGAATCGAGTAGGGGACCGCCCGTACGTGCCAAGAATGAAGCCATTACGTTCTGGAAACCAGTAAATAATACGAACTTCTAGAGAAATTATAACAAACTTTGAAAAGCTGCTTACTTTTTTGCCGTCGCCTGCTTAACAGTGTGACCGGGTGTCGGAGCTGGGAAAAAGTCGAGTACTCTATGGATACTAGCGGATTTCTCTTTCCTGCGCAGCTGGTCACACTTAAGAACGGCGTAAAGGAACTACGTAATGTGTCTAAAAAATAAGCTTTCTACGTAAAGTAAAAAATAAATTTAATACTCCGCCCAATAATATTAATATTTCGTATTAAAATTCTTTTTGAAAATGTCGCATTGTGTGTGGGAAACATAGCTTTTGCCTAACTTTATCGATTAAACATGTATCGATACCTAAGAATGGCGGTTATTTTCAAATTAAGCAGCTGATAACAAATAAATACTTTATTTTGCTTCATATTCATTGGATTCATATTTAATATATTTGATAAATGTATTTCTGGTGTGTACATATTTTAGTCTGAAATATTGAATTTAATTTATTAAAGAAAATATTAAACTAGAAACTTTAAAAGTGAACAAAATTACTGTTAATTATTCGGTTCTATGACTTTACATATAGTATGATAAATTAATAAATAAACACTTTTTATTGTTTAAAATTAAGAATAAACTTCAAAAAAACAATTTTCCCTTTTTATTTGTTTTATTTTTTTCTTTTTTTTTTTAGGATTTTACATTGCAGCTTGTTATATGAGGACATACCAAAAAAAAAACGTGATCACTTTCAAAACATACAATTAACATACATACATTCAAGACAATAAATTAGTTTATAAATATTATATAAGTAAAGAGCTCTTCTAGGAAAGACTTTAAGGTAAAGAAGCATTCATTATCTGTAAGCTACACTGTGCCAAAAACACACTCACCCGCTTAGCGCGCGCACTTCCGGTGGCATGTCTGGGGCAGAGTGTAAGCTTTTCTTTATAAACTTTTCATTTGATTTACTTTTTGTTGGCAAAACGGAAACAGGAAGACGAAAATGGCGCAAATGCTCCACTTGAATCTGCTTGAAACACATCAATAATAAATCAGCCGCGGCGTTGATTTTGTGCAAGCAAGTAAAAGCTTCAAGTGGAGCGAAATGCATTTTCATTCTGGGCCAAAATGCAGCATGACTCAAATGTATCGGCGGGGCCACGCCCCCTGCGGGTGGCGATACAGGAGCATGGAGCATTTTGGCCGAAACAAATAAGGTAGAACAGGAACAGCAAAAACAGTTTATAACATTTGCAATGATTTGCACTTAGGTTCCATTTGGCTTTGCAATCCGATTTGTACAATTCAAGGGGATTGCAAGGGGAAATGTTTTCAGGGAAAAGTAGATGGAAAGCAAGGCTTCAACGTGCCTGAAATTGATTTGCAAATGAATTTGCACTCAGCTTTTGGGACAGTGGCAAAAGGTGAGCACAAACTCTACACACAAAATGCAAAATCAATGACAGGCAGGCGTCGAGGCCTCAAGAAATTAAAATCTAACATTGAACACAAAACACGGAATTATTTAAACAATTAACACAAATACAAATACACATAGACATAAACATTTACATGGACGCGGGGACACATAAAACACATTAAAATAGTACGTAGGCGAATTCCAAGTAAAAGCAGCGAGCCGTCAGCATGGATCAATCGTAAAATCATCTTCATTATTGGCTGGACCGGTGCCAGCCCCGTCCAAATAGTTGCCCAAAACTCAGTACTCCAGACTCGATTCAATCATCTGCAGCACGCGCTGCCTGCCGATTTTGTTCCAGAACAAATAGGGCTCCTTTGAACCCGACACAGAGCGGGGAGCGCTGGAAAAGTTAAATTGTATTAATATTCTAAAAGTTTAGATTCCAAATTCCAATACTCACTTCTGGAAACAATCGAAACGAACGACGCCCCGCTCGTTGATCAGGCACGAGTGTATATCAATCACCTTCAGGTGACTCCTGCCCTCGGAGCGAATAAAGTTGTTAAATCGCAGGACCTTGTCGCACAGCCCCTTGTCGTGGCAATAGTTTGCCAGCGGGGCAAGATTGGTGAGTATCGGGACAAATCGCCGGTTATGCATCTCCTTGATGAGCAGCCGAAAGTCGTGCTCGATCTGCACGAGCGGCTTGCCCCGTAGTATATCCACCGAACCAATGTTCACAATTATCTGGGTGCCCTCGGGCAGGTTGACCCTCTTCAGCCGATTCCGGGCAGCGTTGATCGTCTGGCCGGAAACGCAAAGTCCCGACTGCAGGACCCGTTCGTAACGCCTGAATCGGCACTTGAGCTCCATTCGGGCGAGATATAAAAGTAGATCATCGCCCATTAGAGGAAAGTCCAGAAGATAGGCATCATAGTCCGAGCTTATGGTCAGCATCGAATCGTTATGAGTTGCAGAGGACATGGTCGTGGGTGTGGGCGTTCTCTCGTGGCGCCGCTTCAAGTCGCAGGAGGAACGTGGACGCCTAAAGATGTCCAGGTTTGGGTTGAGTATCTGGTTGAGATTCGGGCTGTTATGGTTCTTGCAGGGTGGCTTGATCAGCTCCGGGTTAGCCAAGTGGTTTGACAGCTCCGGGGGATCAGTATAAATCTGGTTGGGCTCATGCATGTGTGGTGCATTCCCACTGGATTGCTGGTAGATATTTTTGCTGCAGGTATAGGAAATTTACATTAAGGATTAATTATTTAATTAATTAGTACTTTGCATATTTATTTGACTTCTGGTGGACTCACAGATGATTCCAATTGTCCTGGTAGCACCAGTTCGACTCCGCTGCCGCCTTGGCCATATGCGGCAGCGCTGCCGATCTGGTGTTGATCGCCTTGCTCTGGTCATCCGCCGGCTTCTCCGAGTTGACCTTGACATTGAGGTTGTTGTCCAGCGGAGACAGTGCCCGCCGCTTGAATCCGTTACGCCAGTAGCGTGGCGGCACCTGCGGTGGACCCATTCGGTATTTGTCCTCTATGGACGGTGCTCCGCTGCTGTAATCACTGCGCTGCTTCTGGTTAAGTACCATCTCCAGCAGGTGGCTATTCTCCTTGTTGGGTTTCAGGTTGAAGATCCGCTTGCCAGTATGACTGCACTCAGCGGTCACATACGGAATGGTAAGCAGAAAGTCTGTCACGTTGTCGTGCAGAGGAAAGGTGTTGCCCGTCTGTTTGCGATATTCATCTGGATTAGAATTTAAAAAAATTAGAATTAAATTATGTAATATTAAAGAAGAAATCGTGGTTGGAGCTTTAGAAAAGCTAAATAAATGAGAAAAGCACATGTAGAAAATATTATAATATGGTGAGAAATGATCTAGAAATTCCTAGAGACTTAAAATTTAACAAAAAATAGCACAAATTATTTATAAAAATTTCCTTCTTATTTAAATTCAAGCAGCAAAGCAAAAGCTTATCTTAAATGGAAAATTCCATATAAAAATTATAAAATATATACCCACCTTTGATGCTCGATATCGTGATTCCATTCTGGGCATGGCTTAGCAATATGGCGCGCACCTCGGCATCAATGTCGGGATACTCGTCACGCACTTCCCTATAGTTGCCTTCGATTATGGTCATCGTGCTGGTGCTGCAGTAGCTCTGGCTTTTTCTTCTCGTGTAGCTGGTGTTACAATTGCTACTCCTGCTTGTGGTGATGATCTCCTCCTCCTTGGTGGAGATTAGAGTAGAGGAAAATAGTCTCGCTACGATTTGCAATTGCTCTTGGCTTCTTTGCTCATCGGCCAACGGCACTTCTTTCCACAACTCCGGCTCTGGGTCCGGTTCACCACCGCCTTCGCTTTTCCGGCCTGCCTTGAAGATCCGGTGAAATTGGCGTAAAAATTTCGACTTTTCCGGAAAACTCGCAGAGCAGTCGGCCTTCAAAAAGATCTTGTAGAAACGGCTATGGGAACTCTTGCGAAAGGAGGCGGGCTGCTGGAGTTTTTTGCACAAATTGTGCCAACACGTGGCCACGTGTTTTTTCAACGACCTCAAACTGTCGGCTTTGGTACTCGGATTACTGTTCGACTCGCTGGGGAATTCACTTCTGACTGCGGCCATCGCACAAACGAAAGTGATCCGACCTATTGCTCCTCCATTCGGGGTTTCTTCTTTATCGGATTCTGTTCTCTCTTCGTACAAGTTCTGAATTATAGGAGAACTGCAGGTGTATTAGTTGGGGAATAAACGGGAGCAAAGGGAGTAACAGTTACTAATTATCGCGATTATGTTTTCCAGGCTGTTCTTAGAGCTTGGAGCTTTCGAATTTGCATCAGGGTGGTTCGTTCTTAAGGGTTAATTATTATAAGGATTAAACCTTTGATAAATCAAAAAATTGGAACAATTTTTAACTTATTTTATTAAGGGTTTGTTTTTAAAGACTTAAAGTTAGAAGGAGGCTAACTCGAAAGATTTATTATATTTAAAAACCACTTGTTTTCATCTAACAATCTTTCTGCAAATGAACATTAATGATGTGCTTAATCTTTCAGCCACTTAGAAGCACAATTTAAAGCAGGTTACAAAGCCACTGAAAACAATTAAATCGAATTACCACCTGCAGATTCATTTGACGACGATTATTCGAGTCGTTAGCACTCAGCATACATTCATTTTTATGGCCTTTCTTTCGGTCCAGATTAGAAAACAGCCTGCCCTGCATTGCCTTCTGTGATAAGTAATTACGAAATTACGGAATAATAAAAATTCCACAATAACTCAAACGGTTCCCCTCCAACCACCACGTGTGCGGTGGGTCTTGATAAACTGCTAATCTGGCAATCGGCAAATGGAGCTACTGTCTGAGCTGTGTGCTGCCTAGCCCAGGCCTAAAACAATTCCCCAAGACAATTATCATCCGGCCAAGTGCACCTGGATCTTAGCTGGGGGTAAGTGTAATGTGGGTAATGGAAGCAGTTCGTTTGAGGATTGATGGATGATGACTCTGGGCCCTTCTTTCAGCTCGCATTGGTTTTCTCCGCCCCGGAAGGGCTTCTGACAATTGGAAAGAAGCTTGTGGCTTGATTTGACCAAGTTATTACAGTGAAGCTCAGGAAAAAGTATAGACAGAACTTGGAAGAAGTAAAGTGATTATTTTGTAGAATTTTATAAGAAAGTGAAATAATAACATTTTATTAAAAAATATATTTTCTAATTATTTTACTTTAAAATTTTTTAGAAATAGAAGTTTGACTGGAAGCTTGACTGTATCTCTCAACCATCTAAACCACCCTTACTCCACTTAATTGCAGAGGAAGCTGCAGAGACGTGACGAGCAATACTAAATGGAAACATTGGGCAAAAACATGTGGCACAATTGATGATAACACTCCCTTTCCCTATTTTCTATTTGCTGAATGTACGTACGTACATATGTATGTATGTAATCCTCCAAATAAGCTCTAAACTGGAGTGATTCACCCGGATTTCGATGCCATTCAACTTTCCCTTTTGGATTGGTGTTTTTGCAAATATTTTCCTGAATTCGTTCGCATCACAGTGCAATTGTTCCTTAATAATAGTAATTTGCATTCAAGCCTTTCATAACACTCACACAAATCAACTCTTGTTCTGTCGACACCCACCTTAGAACTACAGTGGACACTGGCTGAAGTAAGATTATAAGCAATTAAAATTTTAAAACAAATAAAAAAAATAATAAACAGCTTTATAACTACAATTTTGAGGCCATAAAAATATTAATATATATTTTTAAACAGTTTTTTTTTATGATTAATTAGTGATTTTAACATAAAGTTATAATAATATATTTAACTCTCTTGATAGAAAAATTCTCTGATCAATAATGAAAGGAAAAATTTAATTTTTTAAGGCAATTTAATATATAATATATCAATATATTGTTATAGTTTTCCTGTGCTACGAAAATCAACCCCTAACTTTTGAAAATATTTTTTATTCAAACCTTCAGCTCCCCATAACAAATCTCCCCATTTGATGGACAACCTTTGTGGCCCACTGGCAGGGTGAGGGTGGATTTTGAATAGTAAAGAGCAATTTACCGAGGAGAATTATGAGCAACACACTATATTCATTGGGTTCGACTGCATTTCTGCATAAATTATGGAAGCCAAACGAACAACTTGTTGATATTCTTTCTGCCAGTTGCCAGTTCGGTTAACTCCGAGGTTACCTCGCAGAGGGCGGCAAAATGTTGGGGGTATAGGCGCAAATTATCGTAATCAATTTATGCAAAAACCATTTAGCGATTGGCTCACTTTGGGGGCGGGTTACACCTGTTAATCTGCTGACAGGCGGAAAATGTCAGGAATGCTGCTGGCCTGGCCTGGAATTCGCAGAGCGGAGATTTCCCCCCCTCTCACGGGAAAATCGGATCAGTGGTTCGGCAGCAGCAGCAGCTCCATCACTAATTCCCCTTAATTATCCTTATCCGTTTCCATGGGCTGGCCAAACATCTGTTATTATTGTTCGTTCTGCTGCCGGAGCACTCACAATCATCGATTGGCCTGCAAAAGGGCCCTAATCAGAGCTCCGCAATTCAAACACACGTAATTAGAGCTCTTCTGACAAAGTGTATGGAAGTGCAGTGAGAGAAATATAAGGTAACATTAAAAAAAACCCAAAAAACTAACCTTAGATAACGTTGCAATATTCAGAAAGAACATCTAAATAGATCAGCCTAACACCTAAACCTTTTATTTTCAGCCACCCACCCTATATTATTAGAGGCTTTAACGTTAAATTTCAATAGATTCCTCAGCAGTTTTTATCACTAACTATATTTTTTTTAGTGCAAAATAACACATTTATTTAATGCATTTTTTTTTTCAGTGCTACCCGGGTGTTTCCTTTTGTGATGACCGGTTACAAGTTGCCCAACAGATTGTAAACGGCACACTCAAAGTTAAACGGCTAACCATGTGGCTGAGTGTGTGGCAATTAATCAAGGCTAGGTGTTGTACACCGTAAGACTGCTTCCGATTCCGGTTTTTGGAGTACCCGAGAGCTCCTGCTCCTCATTATGCCCACACGATATGGTTAATACTTCATGTCGTCGTCTTGACCGAGACTGCAATGCCATTTTTGCTTTTGTTTTCGTTTAATATAAATACTAAACTTAAAGGAAGTACCTTATTATCTTAAATAAATTATAAAAAAAAATGTATTAACTCTAATTACATTTTAATTTGCTTAAAATCCTTAAAAATGTTACCATGGATGAATCTTGTTCAAGTTAAGTTTAACTCCAGTTACGTGATACCAATACCGTATCCAAGTAAAGTAAAAAGAAAAAAACAAAGGCAATTGTTACGGCAAACTCAAACCAATCCACTCAGAGAGAGAAAAAGAGAGAACGCAATGTAAACACAATTACTTTGAGTTTTACACTCAATGTCCCAGACACCTGAAAATTCTCTCGCTGCAGCTGCAAAAGTCGAAAATGCATTAACAAACAAACACAATTACAATTTATTCTCTTTCGCTATTTGAGACTCTCCCCGCTCTTTGAGTAAACCGGTTTTGACTTACTCTCTTACTCGTTATACATACTCGAATAAGTTATACCCAGCACCTATAATAATAATGTTAGTTAAGTCCACGCGAGTTAAAGTAAAAGATACATATGTATATTTATTAATTATATACATATGCACGGTTATATTAATTTCAATGACATAAAACAATTTTTTATTTCCTGTGGGGGTTTCTTTTTTTATTTTCTAATTATGTAAGTAAGTATTATGAAATTACTTCTTTTTAGGTAATTAAGTTCGTGTTTCTGTAACTACATACATAAATGGAATTAAATTTGGCTCAAATCATAATTCACCCCGAGACTATATACCCCTTTAAAATACGATTACTGGATATTATGGTTTACTCACGCTGAGAGAGGCAAAGCCGGCTTGTTATTGAGTCTCTCTTTGAGTCAATTTTTAAAACTAAAAAAAATATGTTCTTAATTCATTAAAATGCTTAAACTTGATTATAATTTAATTTTACTAAGTTTATTTAAGAACTTTACACATTCGGTATGCAAAATACATCTTCTCAAGGGAGTTTTGATGGAGTCAGAAATTGCGTTTGAGTGAAACCCAAAAGAGATTAGGTTCTCTCTTTTGGGTTTCTCGCTCTCTCTCTTTGAGTGACTCGAAAATCTATAAAAGCAGCACAAACAACGCGGCGCTCTTAAATTTTTTTTTCAATCGCTCATTCTGGAGAATTTCTGTAACGAGCTCTGTTACTCTTATTTTGGGGAATTCCATAGACAAAATTCTGTTAACGAGCAAAATTCTGTGATCGAGAGCATTTCTATGTTAACAAACAGTTCTCTCTCTACATTTTAACATTCTACATGAGAATTCTACCCCAAAAACGAGAATTCGACCCCAAAAACGAGAATTCGACCCCAAAAAAATGTTAACTAACAAATTTGACACTGTTATTCTGTTAGCGTGTAGGATTGATTTCGACATTTTAACAGGAACGTTTCCTCTTGCTGAAATATTAATTAAATGAATACTAACTATAAATGGAAACTAAAAAATAATAAAAAAATTCAAGAAATTAAAGAAAATTAAGGTTGATTTTTTTTAATTTAATTAAATAGTATTGCATCCCGAAATAAAGAGGAATAGCTAAATCATTTGAAAAATAGACATTTAAATTTAGAGGGCTTAAACTAATTTGGCTAAATTGGGAACCGTTTGTTGAAGGCGTTTGATTAAAAAAAAAATATGGATAAACTTGGGAATACATTTGCGCGGCATGATGGTGAGGTATTCAGTATTCGTATTCAGTTCGTTCAATGTTCAGCTCAGTCAGGTTCGTTCGTGTTCGTGTTCGTGTTTAGTCGTGTTTGGTCGTGTTCGTTCGTTTTTAGTTCGAGTTTAGTCGTGTTTAGTTAAAAAATTTCAATCAACGAAAGCGGTTGTGCAGCGGACAATTCAACCGAACCGGCCACATCGCTGTGTATTGAAAACTCGAGTTTTCTGTCGCAAAAATACTACGTAGTGCCGGTAAAATATAATTAAATAAGGAATATTTGTTTCGGAAATATATAATATTTACATATATATTTTCACGAACCTTGTGCGAGAGTGACGAAGCGGTAAAGAAAACGAGCAATCGAAAAATGGCGCGCTTTTTCACCTTGTTTACTTGGTGAAAAATCAAAATAATCGAAATTTTTAAACGAAACCCAATGAAAGTGTTGATAAACAAACGTGCAGTCATTTTATGAATGTTGAAACTAAAGAAAAAAGTGAAATAATACGCGAAAATAACTACGAAAACAAAAGAAATAAGGTGTAACCTCCACTGAAAATACTCAAAACAACAACTAACAACCACAATTTCGTTACATTAAAGTGCAAGCAAAGCCCAAAACCATTGAAAATCTGCCCAATCTAATGCAAAAATGGCCGAGAGGCATGTGTTTTGTTATTTGTGCAACCGGCGAGTGTAATAAACCATAGTAAGTAACGGTAAACACTGCCACGATGACGCGCGAGGAAGAGGAGGAGGTGCGGTCGCTGCTGTGCCGCCACCAGGAGCGCATAATGCTGGACTTGGGCAGCACCGATCTGCTGGCGGTGCTCGTCAAGAACTCGGTGCTCAGCCAGTCGGAGGAGGATCTGCTGCTGAAGCCCTACGGCGCCGTCACGCCCACGCCCTCCGCCGCCGCCTCTGCCGGCGTAGCGGGCGTCGAGCCGCCCGGCAGCGCTCCATCGCTGACCAAACGCAAGCTCAGCGCTGTGGCCAGCAGCGGGAGCACGGCCAGCGGGGGCAGCGGCGGGAGCGGGGGCAGTGGATCCTCGCGCTGCGCCAGCGTCAACGGCGATGCCAACTGCGACAGCCGCTCCCTCACGCCGTCCGGCGGTGGCAGCGGCGGCGGTTGCTCCGGATTCAACGACGCCGAAATCCTGCGGCTCCAGTGCGCCAATCTCATAGAGATCATCGCCAAGAGCGGCTTCGAGAAGTTCAAGCAGTTCTGCTACGCCATCGAGTGCGAGTGTCCGCAGCTGATCGAGGATCTAATTAACGATCGTCTCAAGAGCGGTAAGTGCTTGTACCTGTACCTGATACCCGAACTGTACCCCTTTCCTTTCATACACAGTGCAAAAATATCTCAGTTGCACCTGCCAAGTGTAACTATAATTTATAACAAATATTTTTAGAAATGTGAAAGTCTGTCAGAATTTCTTTGCATTATACTAAAGTTTTGAGTTTTCCCTTTTTCAATTTCCATACTGCAATTAAATCTTCAATATTTATCTCTCGTTTTAACATTTTATTATGTGAGATGATCTAACTTTCGGCATTATTATGCCTTTTTTGACCGTGTACAACCGACTAAAAAACACGAAAACACCCTCTCTTAACCGGTTCCTTGTGATCTACCTGATCCCCCAATGCGTTGGCAGCTTTAGTAGCCCATATCTCAGCTGTAAATTATTCACGTAATTGTTCGCGATCGGCTCTCAAGTTTCTCATCTCTGCTAATTGGATGCCAGTACAGTGAGCAGTCGCTAATTCGAGTTTTTACTGTAAAATTATAGCTGTAATAACAATTTGTTTCGCGTCACAGCTCTGAGGAACGTAAATATTTCTTTGAAATGGTATTGTATGGTTTGAATGTTGATATAAAACCATAATAAACCATCAAAACTAACTTTATTCTATTTCGATCGATCACTGTTCAATTCTTCTTGTGGTTTCTTTTTGTCGCCGTATGCTTTTTTGCCCATAGCAATGTGGGTGTTGGTTTAGAAGGTGTGCGAGTGGGCGGATCGTCGGCCATTTACAGTGGCGCGTTAATAATAATTGGCATTTCTTGAGTTTATTGTGCTGATTAAGGAAGCCTAGTATTTATGCAAATTTCGTTTTTATGAGGTGGTGGCGGCAGGTGAAATTTGAAACTTATGACACTTTATATGTGGTACTTAAAGACCACTTTCCCTTCAAAACTTATCTTATCAAGAGCACGTCCCTTTGGGGGTTAGAAACTCAAATAAATGAAAGAAAAGTACACTGAGTCAACAAGCGGAAGAGCTCTTAAATTGTTTCTTCTTGCTGATAAGAAAACTCTTGATTGCTGTTCGTCAAAATGTGGTGTTGATCTGAAAGAAAATAAATGGAATTTTCATATATGAACAGACATAGCTGATAATATTTTTTCTTATTAGCTTGAGGTTAGATTGTGGATTTCCAGAGGTTTAAATAAGCTGATATCATACAGATTTCGAGAATCTTATGGAAATCTATTTATAATATCTGTAACTTAAACGTTTTTCACATTCCAGTTAATGAATCACCTAATAAGGTAAATCTCTATACATTATTCACAGCGATAGAAGAGTCTCCGTTTTTGAAAAATGATCTTTAGCTGAATCTATCGGTCCTATAAACTGCTCCCACATTCCAATAAAGCATTTACCTTTTTTTTGCCAAATGAAATTCTTTGAGATTATATTTTAAATACCATTGGGGTATATCCACTCCCATTTCTCTTGACTTCCTCGAAGCGATCCATCAAAAGTTCGCACAGCTGTTGCCGCATCCACGCGCTGAATCATTGACCCACAACTTCAGCAGTTGTAGCCAAGCCCATCCAACAACTCCAACCAACAACAAGAACAACTCAACAACACCAACAACATGTCAGTGTCGGCATGTAAATTTTGCTGCCCAGACTTGTAAATTACCCCCAAAGAAAGACCGAAGACAGGAAGACACTGAGTAGAGGGGGAGCTCAAGAACGAAAACCGAAAATTGAGATTACATGCTGAAAGCAGCTAAAATAACAAAAACAACAAAACAAAACCCTTGTTGTTCTTAGATTTCGCTTGTTTTATTCCGCTCTAATGAAAAAGTTGTTGCCCGGAGGGAGTAGAAAACAAAATAATCATAGATTTGAGATACAAGATCCACACATTCACATCTAAAAAAAAACCAATGAACTAAAACCGAAACTAAAAAGGTTAAAAAAAGTGTGGCCCAAGAAAGTAAAATTAGGGTATTTGGGGAGCGCCACAGACACAAATTAAATGCTCTTTATAAGGAGTTGGATAAGGTGTCGTAAAAGAAACCTAAAGAGTAGTTTTATTAGCTCAAAAATTGGGAGGCCAGATCAATAGTGTGTTCAATAAATTTGAAGGGATCAAGGAACTCCCAAAATAAAATATTTTTATAGATATTTTAATGTCAGCACGTGATACGGAAAGGTGATCTAAAAATATAACCAATATTAAAACGAGAGGGAGTTTGTACTAATGCTCAGGATTGCTTTGACTGTTTCCAAGAACGTTACCAATGAATCCCAAGACTGGTCTTTCCGTTTTTGTAGGGCATCGAAAAGTGCCAGCAACAAGAACCAACTAACACAAAAACAAGAACTCTTACAAAAAATAAAAACAACAATAACAATAACATAGCCATGGCAAAACGTATTGTACACATAAAGCCCTCGATCACGTTTTACGATTCCGGCCACGATTACAGTCAGAAGAAAGAGGGAAGAGAGAGAGAGAGAGCGAGAGCGAGAACGCATTACGCGTGGTCCATGTTCATGTTCTTGTCATGTGTGTGTTGTTGTGCTGGTGTGTTTGTGTGCTTCTTTTAGTAACTCCATTTGTCCAACTGCCCCCGCAGGCGGTTTTCCTATCCTCTGTCCCCTGCCTTCCGCTTCTCCACCGTATTCCTGCCTCCCTGTTTTTCCGTCTAGTCGTAGACCAATCCATTCATCATCATCATGATCAGGTTGGGGAACATCATAATCCGATTCGTCGTCGTTTCGCTTTTACTTCTTTACGACTCTCGCAGCCCCTCTGCCTCTCACTCGTTCTCTCTATGTTTGCTAATTTCTTGTACGTGCTGTTCTGGTCTGGCTTTGCCTCCTCCGTTCCATCTCCTCTGCTTTGCCGCCCTCTTCGTCAGGTTCTCTTTACCTTTGCCGCGTCGGCTCAGGTAGGTAGATTTATACACACACACCTGAGGAAGAGCAAATAGTACAATTTATTTTTATTCAAAAATATTAAAAATAAGTATTTTATAAACCTTGAAAATCTTGTTTGTTTTCAAATATTTACCACAATTAAATTAATACATTTTGGAATAATATAATAAATAATTAATAAATAATAAATTTAGATATTTTAGGACCTAAAGGTTAATGTAGAAATCTTAAAAGTTTTGTAACTTTTATTTTTATAATAATGCTACTAATATCTTGAGCTTAATAGTACAGGCTAGGTAGAGTCAGTACCCTTCTGCACGTAAATTACAATTATTTACAGCGCACAATGTTTTCTCCTCTAAAATTTTCGTCTCCTCTCTTCGGATCTTCGCATCTCTCTTCCCACTTTCTGCGGCGCTCCCTTTTGGCAGTGTCTTTTTGCATTTGATAATTTATGCAGCATAATCTGGCCGATGACGTTTATCGCTTGCCATTCCCATTTGTCCCCTCCTTTCGGTCTCTTTTTTTTCTCCTCAAACTCCTCCTCACACCACCCTCCCCATTTCCCGCCTTCTATCCCTTATTCTCGTTCCCCTATTTCCTTTCTGGGCTGCGTTATCGCGTTCTGCTTCATCTTTTGTGTCTTTGCACTGCCCCTGAGAATCGTTTCCTTTTATGTTGTATTTGTTGATTTCTTTGATTTCGCTTTTTCCTCTTTTTGTTTTTTTTCTTCTGATGATAATGATGTTCACCTTTAGTTTCGTTCCATTTCGTTTCGTTTCAACTGCGCATGCGCATCCTGTTTTCGTTTGCAACCGATCTTCTTTGTTTTCTACTTTTGTCCTACTTCTACTGGTTGCCTCTCTCTCACTGTCTCTCTCTTCTCGCTGTTGAAGTAGGTCTTCAGGTGTGTTGTTGTTGGTTGCCTCTTTGCGTTTTAATTTTCCAACCTCTCTTCCGTTCTACTTAGCGGTACAGGATCTAAAGACTCGTCACTATTAGATTTTCAAATTTATGTTCAGAAGAGAGTAGAGAGAAAAATAAGGAAATGGGTCATCTACTTTTCCTGCTGGATTCACAACTGATCAACAAACAAACTGAACAGGGTATGCAAATATTCGAATCTAAAAGCTGGTTGTCTTTTTAAAGCTAGCTCGCTCTGGAGCTTTACTTAACGCTTTTCCATTCCGCTTTATCTTAACTCATCAGCTGCAACAAAGTTGTAGTTGTTTTTCGATCGTTGTTGGCTTGTGCCTCGTAAAATCCCAAGCAAATGTGTTAATTTTTTAAATGGAAGTAATCAACTAGAGTTCGTTGGTTGCTCAACAACTAGTTTTTGTCATGTTGAAATATGTAGATATGGTTCGGACTCTAGATCTTAAACGAATTAGATCTTCTGGGTGGCCTTTTCAAGATGCTCTAGAATGCCTGCTCCCTCGCCTCTGATTGCAATTCCCGTGATTACAATTTAATTTCCATTCGGTGAGCCCTATTAAATCATTATTCATTTCGGTAGCTGATCACAAGGTTTATATACGTAGGTATATGGCTCATGGTATATGGGGTTTTCCTCCGCGCTCTTCTCGGATCTCATGAGTCTGGGACAGTCTGCTAAGCCGCTTACCCACACAACTGTCACGCAATCAGCCAGCCAGCGATACACCGATCCCGGCAGGTAACTTGTTTGCCTCTCTTTTACCCATTCTCGCTGCTTCCACGCTCGTTCTGATTACAAGAACCACAACAACAAAAAATGGGTAGAAAAGCTATGACTCATTGGGCCCGTAAAGCCATTCTCCAAAAACGGGCACCGCTCCATCGGTTCCAGACTGCTGGCGTCTGCTGCAACCTGGAAGTGGCAGTTGTTGCAGCTGGAAGCCGCCTTAACTGTTTCTCTGCTGGCTCACTACGTCTCCGTTCCCGCTGGAATGGGGTACAGTGATCTAACGAACAAAGAAGGGGAATATTTATACATTGGCGAATCGGAATTGTACGAAGTAAGCCATAATTATGATAGTTTTAAGAATTTCACACTTGTGTTGATAATAGAATTCCCAGGTAGTTTTGGTTAAAAAAAGATAAAATACCCACATTTCTCTTTTAC